AGGGCTAAGTGCCTAAGGGGCACATTTTTAGACTTTTGTAGGTGTCTAACTACATTGAAAATAATGGGAATTAGCTGCCTACATACTTGTAAAAATCTGGCCCTAAATCACTTTTGAAAATGGGACTTGGGCTCTTATAGTCTCTTAAACACTTTTGAAAATTTAGGTAAGTAGGGCCATATCTGCACTGCCCTGCAGTTTGAACTACAGGAGTGTGAACAGCAGTTTGTACTAAAGTGCTGCACTGTAACTCCCCCATGTGGAGGCTGCAGGCAAAGTCATTTTTGAGTTATGGAACAAAATTTCTGAAGGGAATATGAGGCAATAGGGTCTGGATGAATGGGAACAGAATTCAGACCCTGGCTCTAACCCTGGCTATGCCATTAATTTGCTGTGTTTCATTTAGGTAAGTCACTTTCTAACTACACCTCAATTTCCCTATAGGCGATAACACCTGTCTTGATTGGGTGTTGTAAAGGTTAGTTGGTTAATGGCTGTGTAGTATTTTGAACATGTCTTGTGCTATGGATTATTGTGAGTGCTTAGATACTGCAGTGATGGGTTCTGTATGAATCTGTAAAATAGAGAGTTGTGGGTTGTTCATGCCCTAGTAACTTAAAATGAGTAAACTATGTCTGTTTCAAACTTCCAAACAAAAAATCCTCTATTGGTTTGAAATGAAACTTGGAAGGTTTCAGTCCAAAGGAATTTGACTGAGAAAATTATGAGCAATTTACGGAGGGTGGTTTAAAATGGATAAGTGTATGTGTCTGTGTGTGTGCACTCGCACACATGCACAATGACATACATATAATAAGTAATAGGAACCAAAAGCCCCTGACCTCTGCTGTGAACAGAGATGTTCAACTCATGCCCTGGATGAGAAAGAAGGAGAGAGAGATTACGCTAGGACTACGTTTATAATGAGGTTATCTAATGATAACATAAACCATGAGAGCAAAGCTTGAATACATGTCACCACAAATGCTAGATAAAAATGCAACTTCTTAATGCAGTATCGAGAGCAGGGGTTTCTTTTATAGTAGTTGAGTACATATGAAAACTAGAGATGTTTAAAATCGATTTTAAAAAAAATCATCCATCATCTTACATCACTTATTGTCCCATCGGTCAGTTTTTCTATTTGTACTGGAGCATATATCAATTTAAGTTACAAGAATACACCCCATAAATGTATTATTTAATCTTCTAGAAATTTCCATTTCCATAAGTCGTAAATTCTTGTGAAGATATCTTCTTGGGATGTTGGATATATTTACATGAAATACATTTTAAAGACTCTCCACCAATGTCAGCAAGCACACTTAGGTATCTTTGTTTCATACCTTTATCCCTGTGAGTCAGTCATTCCCAGTGTTTGTGGACTTCTGCCTGCTTTGGGCAGAGAAAAATACAAAACTGGAAACTGAACACAAGGAGGATTTTTACATTTTAAACATTTAGGGTTGGGCTGTTAAACATTTGCAGCCAAATTTTTCGGTCTCTGCTTTCTATTAGATGGCACATTGGTGATTGGTGAAGGGTGGGCACAGTTTAGATTGCAAGCTTGAGAATCAGCCTTCAGGAACAGAAATCAGTCTTTCATTTCCTCCCATAAGAAGCTGTAGAGTCTGACCGCTGCTTGCAATGGCAGTTGCATGAGACTCCTGGAGCTGGAAGAGGGGGCCTGAGGTGAGCAGAAGAATGCAGAGTCAAATGGAGTGGCTTCAAAGGTAGTACTGATTTTAAAGAGAAAAGAATGGGAGAATGTCTGTTGCAAGTCCTGGATTCCTGCCAGGAGGTACCTTATTTCCAAACTGGCAGTAGGTCTCAGCAGGTTCCCCTCATCTGCAGCTGCCAGGAAAAGGAAGTGGAGGCCTGCTGAGAACCTGTAGTCTGAAGGGAAGAGACTGGCTCAAGAGAATACAGTTCTCCCTATGTTTGCAGTGTGGCTCTTTAAAAGCAGTTCACTCCCTCCCTCTGTTTAGCTCACTCTTGCATCCCACCCCATCTTAGAGAGATATGTGGTCTTTTAGGTAGACCACATATCTCTATAAGGTACTGGATGTGTACCATAGATCAATGTCAGTACCTTGAATTGTACCCAGAACTGAATAGTAGAATTCTCCACTTTGGAAACATGGCATAATTGCCTCCATATGTCTCCACCTATATGTGAAGCGCAAAGGTGACAGCATATATGACAGAGAGCCCTCTTGGCAGATGGCGATTGCCCAACATTACCCTCTGCTACTTCTGAGAGGAAAGTGGAGTGTGATTTATTTATTTTTTTTGTTCATTCCACCAGGGTCCATGAGTGAGACGACAAAATCTCATGGTCAAACACAGAAAAGAGAAAATTATAAATGTCTTTTCATTAAATTAACATCTGTTGTGAGATATTGCAAACATTTAAGCAATAAAGAACAAAAGATATTAAAAAAACTAGGGACCAAATGGAGCTACTATAAGGTGAGTGCATAACTTGTTGGAAAACTGTTCCCAGAGAGTAATCATCAGTGGTTCACAGTCAAGCTGGAAGGGCATATCAAGTGGGGTCTGGCAGGGATCCGTTCTGGGTCCGGTTCTGTTCAATATCGTCATTAATTATTTAGATAATGGCATAGAGATTACACTTATAAAATTTGTGGACAATGCCACGCTGGGGGGGGGGGGTTGCAAGTGCTTTGGAGGATAGGATGAAAATTCAAAATTATTTGGACAAACTGGAGAAATCATCTGCCTAGGAAAGAGTACTACAGAAAAGGATCTGGGCGTCATAGTGGCTAACAAGCTAAATATGAGTCAACAGTGTAACACTGTTGCAAAAAAAAGCAAACATCATTCCCTGATGTATTAGCAGGAGTGTTATAAGCAAGACATGCAAAGTAATTCTTCTACTCTACACTGCACTGATTACGCCTCAATTAGAGTGTTGTGTCCAGTTCTGAGCACCACATTTCAGGAAAAATGTGGACAAATTTGAGAAAGTCCAGAGAAGAGCAACAAAAATTATTAAAGTTCTAGAAAACATGACCTGTGAGGGAAAATTGGGTTTGTTTAGTATGGAAAAGAGAAGACTGAGAGGGGACATGATGATTGTTTTCAAGTACATAAAAGGTTATTACAAGAAGGAGGGAGAAGAATTGTTGTTCTTAACCTCTGAGGATAGGACAAGAAGCAGTGGGCTTAAACTGCAGCAAGGGAGGTTTAGACTGGACATTAGGAAAAACTTCCTAACTGTCAGAGTGGTTAAGCACTGGAATAAATTGCCTAGGGAGGTTGCAGGATTTTTAAGAGCAGGTTAGACAAACACCAGTCAGGGATGGTCTAGATAATACTTAGTCCTGTCGTGAGGGCAGGGGACTGGACTAGAAGATCTCTCGAGGTCCCTTCCAGTCCTACAAATCTACAGTATTCTATCAAGGAGAAGACTATGACCAGTGCCTTGAAAAGAATTTGCCAAATTATACAATCATCTGCTTTGGACCTCATACTCGTAGTAGGAGATCTGTTGTCCAGCTATACGGAAAGGAGGACAGGAGACACCTGTTATGGATTTAATCAGGCTGCAACTTTACTTTAGATGTCTGGGACTACCCGGCAGATAAAAGTGTACAGTGCAGGTAAACCCTGTTTATTTTGTAATTACCGGGGAGGAGGGAAGGGGGGAAGGCTTCCACCACCTCCCCCTCCTTTTCCATTCGTGTCCCTCCAGCAAATCCATTGCTGGGACTTTACCATCCACACACCCCCTTCATAGGAGGGGTAAGGTGGGCTATAAGAAAGGGGGTTGGCTCCCTGCCATTCCAACCATAGGAGTCCCAAACCCCACACCGTTCCATTCCTTTAACCAGAACCTCCTTTTTAAGTCCTTTACCAGGCCATTTATCTGGGCACTGGATGCCTTCCCTATGGAGTATCTGCACTGGACATCCGCCACAAGGAGGCGCCAGCAGTTAGGTTGGCTATCTTCCCCTCCCCCTTTCCCTCCCTCCTTCCCCCCCCTGCTGCCTTGCCTGCTGTGTGGAGAAAGGGGTTTCCTTTAAAGCCTTTCACCCTTACATTCCAAGAGGGTGAGACAGTGCTGCAAAGCTGACCACTACCTTTTTTGCAGCAGTTTCTGACCTTGTTTCCCACCCCTGCAGCCATAAACCACTACTGTCTTCCTCCACAAGACTGGACAACGGCCCGCCTGCTTTTAGTGCAGGGCAGTCATTCTCATTCAAGTGTAGTTAAACAAACAAGGTTACAAAACACCACAGTTGACATTACATTCTAAAGACCTGATCCTGTGAGCCCTTATTCTCCTACTGATGTCATTCCCTTAACAGAATTGAGGATTTAGTTACCTACATCATCCATTTGAATCATAGAATATCAGAGTTGGAAGGGACCTCAGGAGGTCATCTAGTCCAACCCCCTGCTCAAAGCAGGACCAATCCCCAGTTTTTGCCCCAGATCCCTAAATGGCCCCCTCAAGGATTGAACACAGAACCTGGGTTTAGCAGGCCAATGCTCAAACCACTGAGCTATCACTCCCCCCCGATTATGGGGAAAATAAAATAACTACCATTATTACATATATGGAGTGGCTGCTACTTGAAATTTGCTCAGTAAGTTTAATAATTCCATCCTAGTAATGTACTTCAGTTTTGTGCCTTTTTATTGTTAGGTATTTTACCCTAACAATAACATACAGTTACTTCAGGTATTACATTTTTCAAACTGCTCTTCCGCTGAGACCACCATCTGATATTATTCCTTTTTAATCTCCTTCAGAAATGTGTTTGGTAATTCTTTGTCCCAAAGTAGGTATTGTTTTTTCTGCATACCTCACACAAACTTCAACTGGATTTAATACTGCTCTTTCAACTCAACATTTATAAAACCGTGTTTAACTTTAGACAAATTTCTCTCTTTTATTTTTAGTACTTGAGCTAACATCAGAAAGCAAAAGCAGGTCAGGGCCTTTGAATTTCACATCTTTAATTTTACAGGCCGCAGCATGGATATCTGATAAAGTGAAGTACTCCACATCTGCCGATGTGGACGGAGTACTCCACATCTGCAGATTTCTCCACTGCCTTTCACATGGGGACCCTAAAACTTTTCTTCGTATAAATGAGGTAATCTGTTGGACCCCATTCTAAAGCATTTGCAGTTAATTCTTCTATGTCAATTCTTCTATGTCAATAGAAAGCCAAACAGCTGTGCTGTTGCTGTCAAGAAACCCCTCAAGGGAGTTGGTGTCAAGCAAGTTGACTGCTTCCTGCCTCAGCCCATGGCTCTCCATGAATTTTCTCAAGTCTCTGCTATGCAAAAAATATCTAGAAAAGAACTTACGAATCTGCCCAAGGGTCCTGACCTAAAAGAGAGAGCCAAATTTAAACTCTGATTTCCTTTCCTAAAACTTCAGACGGAGGCCGCCTCTGCTGAGAGCACACTAACAGCCATGTTGAGTGAAAGATAGGAGAGAGAGCTGACTACTCCTCACTAAGTGAGACTTAGGAGATTTGGGTTTCCCAAGAAATATTGATAGCAGATATGGGAACCATTAAACCTGCTAACATTAGCACCGACACTAAAAATGGCCATTGCCAAAATAAGGTAAACTCTTGAAACCAGACTTATGAACTGGAATAAGGTAAACTTGACATTGACACATATCTTCATATAATCAAGCAGATTTTGTGTTAAACTGAACATAACATAAGAACATCCATACTGGGTCAGACCAAAGGTCCATTTAGCCCAGTATCCTGTCTTCTGACAGTTGCCAATGCCAGGTGTCCCAGAGGGAATGAACAGAACAGGTAATCACCAAATGATCCATCCTGTCACCCATTCCCAGCTTCTGGCAAAGAGAGGCTAGGAACACTACCCCTGCCCATCCTGGCTAGTAGCCATTCATGGATCTGTCCTCCATGAATTTATCTAGTTCTTTTTTGAACCCTGTTATATTCTTGGCCTTCACAACATCCTCTGGCAAGGAGTTCCACAGGTTGACTGTACGTTGTGTGAAAAAATACTTTTTTGTTTGTTTTAAACCTGCTGCCTATTAATCTCATTTGGTGGCCTCCTAGTTCTTGTGTTATGAGAAGGAGTAAATAATGCTTCCTTATTTACTTTCTCCACATGAGTCGTGATTTTATAGACCTCTATCATATCCCCCCTTAGCCGTCTCTTGTCCAAGCTGAAAAGTCCCAGCCTTATTAATCTCTCCTCATACGGCAGCTGTTCCATACCCCTAACCATTTTTGTTGCCCTTTTCTGAACATTTTCCAAGTCCAATACATCTTTTGTGAGAATACTGCCCACACTATTCAAGATGTGGGCGTACCATGGATTTATATACTAGCAATATCATATTTTCTGTCTTATTATCGATCCCTTTCTTAATGATTCCCAACATTCTGTTTGCTTTTTTGACTGCCGCTGCACCTTGAGTGGATGTTTCCAGAGAACTATCCACAATGACTCCAAGATCTTTCTTGAGTGGTAACAGTTAATTTAGACCCCATCATTTTATATGTATAGTTGGGATTATGTTTTCCAATGGGTATTACTTTGCATTTATCAACATTGAATTTCATCTGCCATTTTCTTTCCCAGACACCCAGTGTTGAGAGATACTTTTGTTACTGAAATCCAAAATGGAAGATCTAGAAAATCAGAGCTGCTGTTCCAACTAATGTATTGTTGGGATCTCAGAGGATTTAGAAAGATCAGATATAGTATCCTTTACAAACTGCCTTCTGCAGTCAGCTTGTTAACAGCAAGCTCCCATCCCTGACCCTCAGATAAAATGAACTCATCAGCCCTTTAGGCCAAAACCTATGGGTGAGTCAGGCAAAAAACCACGAACAATTATACTAAAATTCCTAAGATTTGCAGTTAAAAGAAGAATGCTGCAAGTATCTCAGAAAGTTTTAAAAAAGAGATGTTCATAAAATGCATTTTTATATGTATGCCAGCATAGAAATGACGGTCAAATATCGATCCTCCTTGATCACATATGCTATTCAGCTGACCTGGTCAACTGATTTTCTTCCAAGATGATAAACATTAATTCTTTAAAGACACAGAGGAACTAGAGGCACCACTTCTGGTCCTGGAGCCTTTCCAGATCTCATTGAAGTAATGAGTCCTGGCTTACATTGAAGGTCTCATCAAGTTATGCAGACTTTTTGTTTTATGCCATTATGGATGGTTATTTCTGCATCCTGGTTACAGATCTTTTCTGAGAGTCATCTCTTCCCATTACGAAGTACTGTTTTTGTTTAGGGTTTGCCTTTTGCAACTTTTGTGGTGAACAATAGGCATAAATTAATTTTGTCCTAACTGGTTCCCTCTTTGGATGTCATAATTTATTATTTTCTGTAAATCAATGAGTGAATGTGTTCTGTATTATAGATAAAGAGTATGTTTTCCTTTGAGGAAGTAAAAAATAGCCTACTGCAATATTTCCTATGTCCACTCAGAGATCTCTGATCTCTTTGGCTACAAAAGAGACAACTCTTACTCCTGCCTGTTTGTTTTGTGGATTCCTTCTTTTGTCTGGTATTGTCCTCAATTGTGATATTGTGACAATAGTTATTTTGTGGCCTTAATTCTTTTAGATCTGGATTTCTTACTGTTTACCTGCAAACCAAAAAAGTAGAAGGTAATGGGCTTGAGAATGCTGTAAAGGAATTATACTACCAACATTGACACTCCTGATGTAGGTTCAAGAACTTTCTGGGGTGCCGCAAAATAAGTTCTCCATGGAATCTTAATTATAATTATTGAGGGATATAAGAAAGTTCCTGTGAGCTCAATAGCTGACGTTACTTCATCCTAAGAAATATAGAGTCAAAACAGAAAAAACTCACTAAGAAGTATCTTTCTGAACCTGCCTTCGTGAAGATAATTAAAATCAGAGCTGTAATCAGTACACAAGAAACCAGCCAAATTGAACATGTTCATAGGATCATAAATATTTGTATTTTTGATAAATCCAACAAATCTGACAAAGTGTTGGCTTGGAAACTGTGCAAACAAAAATTAAACTTTAAACACAATAGGTTAAAGATCCAAATTTGATATGAGCTGCCTACTTTCTATAATCTCTACATTACTATGAAGGGGAAAGCAGACACCTCACCATTTCTAGCATTATGCTTCCCAAGTTCTACCATGCAAGATAGAAAGCTTCAGTGCTGCCACTTTTCCTAAAGAGAGAGAGAGAGAGTACGATCTGAGACTTGGCTAATGAGGATCCCTCAGGATCTTATGGCTTTGCAGTGGCATTTTATTAATCAATGGCAGATCACTTAACTCCAAGCCTCAGTAGAGTCTCCTCTCAGGGCTTCTCCCAGACCATTGGTACCAGGTGACAATTATTGTGTGCTCAAAGTAAGGCTACTCACTAGAGTCTTATGCTAATTACAATCCTATTGCACTCCTCAAAGCAGAGGTCAAGATTGTCTAAATTGCTCAGACTAATGTCCTAATTATTTAAATTTTATCAGATGGAATTTGTCAATGACAGTCTTGACAATGTTGTGCTGACTGGTAAATATTCCCCAGTAGGTACAATTGAAGGCTGATCACACCTTAATTGTATTTCTGAATCCAGAAAAGACTTTGACTGGGTCGAGCAGTCACTTCTGTTCAACCTTATGAGGCCTCTGGGCTCAGGGGTAAGTGTAAAATACCTTGATCTTCTGATAACTATTGACCCTTCCCCACTATAGACTGTAAAGGATATTTTGTCCGAAGTATCAATAAGTCTGTCTGTCTGGGTGGACAATTCTGTCATTTGTCTGGGCTTTATTAATATCGCCAACATGCTAGCTTTTCCTTATACACTTTTTATGTACCATACCTCCATGTTATATCCCTTATTATTTTTTTATTTTTCTGCAGAGTGATTACTAAATTTTGTAAGGCAGAATAAGAAACCTAAGATAGGATGGAATACTACTTGTAGCTTCAGCAAAGTGGGGATACTTGCCCTACCTTCTTAATTTTGGGTTGCTATGCTTAGGAGAATAACCCTCTTGAATGCTTGACTGCTTCATGTTTTATATACACTCGATATTAATGGAAAATGGCCTAAAAAGAGCACCTAATGTAACCTACAAGTTGCCAGGATTGAGCATCTGTTAGACACTGGAATTTATCAGGATTACACCCTCTGTCTTGTTCAGCATGGAAGCTTGGGTGAAAGACCAAAATGAAAGCAGGGTTTCCCAATGTTTTTTTCCCATTCACACCCCTTAAAATGTATTATGTCAGAAGGTCTTATCTTATCTCATTGCTGATCTTTCTGAATGTAGCAAAATGAAATTTTCTTGGTCACCATAAAGGGAAAATCTTTCAGAACATGGAAGAAAGTGTGAAAATAACCTGTAAAGCTGGTCTTCTTTTTCAATATTTGGAAAACTGAGATGAAAAACAAAATTGCCCCTTTTCATGCAAAGGCAGAAGCCACTATTCTTGTACATGGTACAACCAGGAGTTTTATATCATAAACGTATAGCTGCTCAGTCACTTTATATCACATGAGAAATCAATTGTATTTGACTGCATTGGAGACAGACTTCAGAATTAAATGGACATAGGCAGATAAAATTGCTATTAAAAGATTTATGAAGACATACTCTATTTCTAATTCTATTAGAGAATTCCAAATCTGTATAAGATTTACATCTCCTCAGCTCTTCTTCATACAATTAACCCAGTCGTGTCTCATCTTTGTTGGAAGGGGCTGGTGTCAGTTTAGATCATTTGCTCACTTATGATGGCTCTGCCTGAAGGTTTAGTCATTTTAGTCAGCAATTCAATAATGTACCTTGGAGATAACTGGCATACAACTATCCCTTACCCTAAAGATTTCCGCTAGGAATACCCTCTCTGCTCCTTTAACAAGTATCTATGCACATTATTTCATGACGGTAGTTAGAAATCAGATTGTCTGTAAGCAGAATCTTGCAGCTCTCACCTCCATATTGGATATGTCTGGTTGTATTAGAAACATTACGGTAATGGAGACATTTAGACTTGGTTTCACAGTAAGAAGGCTCAGCTGTCCCTAAGCACCACAATCTCCATACATTTTTGGCATTAACTTAAAACTTAATCG